CACACCGACTTGTGTGCGGTGGAGCGCCGTCTCGTTGAAGCCAGAACTGCCTCATACGCTTTCGACGAATAATTGGCATCACAAAATTGGTCATCATGTCGCGATAAAGCTCCTGATTGATAGTAACAGCATGGCCATTTTCATTTTGGAAGAAAAACGGACCAATGACCGTTTTCGCACTAACGCCGCACCAAACTGTGACTTTTTCGTCATAAAGAGGCACTTCTTGAATCTTCTGAGGATTTTCAGTGGCGTAAAATGGAAATTTTGCTTATTTACGGTCCCATTCAATATGAAATGAGCTTCATCGGACATGATAATTTTGTTCGAAAATTGACTGACAATTGACTTCTTCTGTTGAATGTAAATTTCAATTATTTCAGAGCGCTCGCGTGGCGTATATTGGTTCATGGTAAAAATCTGCTTGGACTGACGCTTCAAACGCGGTATGTCATTAAGCGATGTGATATCTCTGTCAAAAGTTATGGCGTTGCCAGATGGGTCCGTCGAATATGGGCAACCCTGTATATACTTTGTGGGGTCTAAAATGAAAAATTCGAGAAGTTACAAACGGAATGACAAACTTAATACACCCTCCTGAAAATAAAAAAATAAAGAAAATAAAAACTTATTTTATGCGTCATGTCCTTTTTATTAATGGCTTTATAAGCTGATTTGTAATGCATATTTTTTCTGTGTTGCAATATATTTTAAATAGAGTGTGAATCATTGTCATAAGGGATATTGTATGATATGTCATAAATAATGTTACTGCTTACTCTTTTTTTTTTAATGAAAGTGGTTTAAAATAAATATATATATTTTTTTATTTCAATTCGTTCAACAATTTTTGCTATGAAATGTCTCACATGTTTCATTTTATTTTTATTTGATTTTATACGTTTTAGTAGTAGTGAATCAAATCAATTTTTTCATTTTTTTTTTTTGTTTTGAGTTGAGTCCGATATATGACCGGTCAATCGATCAGTCATCATTTCCACACACACACGTCAAATTTTGACGAGTTTTTAGATACCCAGAATAAACGGAAATTAAATCAGTGTTCTATAGAAATTCAGTTAGACTAATAAAAAATCGATAACAATAAATAAAATTTGTTGCTGTAGAAAAGTAAATATAGCTGAAGAACATATTGGCTAGAAATGTGTTTCTTTGTTGGAAATAATTTGATTATATATCTATAATGGAGAAAATTGTATTGACATAAATCCGTTAATATTTTCAGAAATTATTTATTTAATTTAATTTTTTTTACTGACATATATGTTTCGCATTAATTTTCCACATATGTGAGCATATCCCATGCAGGACTAAAGCCCAATTTTAATACTTTGGAAAATTGTACAATCTTATTCTTAATGTGGCAAAAAAAACAAGTTTATAATATCTATATAACTCGACTTTATAGCCGTGAATACCTGGTTCGAACTGTTGGACATATTTAAAAATTAGTAGAAATATAATTTTGATTATTATGTCAAAGTAGAAAACTTTTTTACAGAAATGGCTATGCAGGTCAACATTTTGAAATGGCTTTATGTAATGATAAACATCAAAACATATACATAAATATTGTCATCCTATGCATGTAGGTTTGCTGCCATAATATAACGATCTAACACATTAAGTTCAACTGGGCTGAACTAATTATAACCTGCACCAAATCAAAAATTGATTTGTGGCCAAATCGCCTATCCTCAAAATCACGAAAATGTGGAAGGTTCTTAAGTTTTTGAAGACGTTAAATGCCCACTGGAAACCCAAATTTTCAAATTAAAGCTATTTGAGCCAAAACCTTAAAAATACTAAAAATCAGGTGGAATCGTTATATGCCATTCATACGAAAAAAATACCCACTGAAAACTCGAAATATCAAATTACAGCCGACTTGATAAGAAATATGGGCCACAGGCTCCAAAATACTGAAAATTTCTAGATGCCGTTATATGGGGTTCATGTCAAAAATTGGACCTTCATTGAATATTTTTTGGTGAGGAATTGAAATACCAAATGAGAAACCAGAATATAATGGTTGATTTTGTAGGAATGTGGGATTTAAACCTTTGTTATATCGAAAAATCGATCCTACGTGTGGACTGATATGGCCCCTAACGTCCATGAAGTATTACAAAAGTCTATGACAAATATCATTAATTTTTGATATTTTTTTCAGTAGTATTTTAAGCCATGGATGCATACATTTAAGACCTGAGTCTTCTAATATTGCCTAAAATCATGTCGATTTTGAAAGAAATACTTTTTTTCGGATTAAGGTTATATCCAAAATGTGAACCGATCTCTATAAATTTTAGCAAAAGTATTTTGAGCTGCATCTGATAGCATCAAATATCAGTGCTGTGGAGCGCATATAATGAATGTGAGGAACCTAAACATCAAATCGGACGACACATATGTACAGGGTGAGATAAAAAAACTGCAACAAAGTCAAACGCCATAATTTTTGAATTTTTTATTGTTATTGAATGAAATCAAAAAATGTCGGCAATAGCATCAAATGTTAGAATTTGTTTTGAATTGGTCACCTTTTGCACGAAGCAGTCACACGCTGTCCAAATGTTGGTCTGCGGTATTTTGGCCCATTCCCGGCAAAACACTTGCTTGAGGTGATCGACACTTTGGTATTTTTTAGTGCCAACCTTGCTTTCCAAAATACTTCAGACACAATAGTTGAACGAATTGGTATCCGAATGGTATAATTGTGCGTTGGAAATGAAGCAAGGAACCTAATTTTGTAACCATTCTTGGGTGGCGCTTGCTGAGTGTGATAGTGCTAAGTTCTGTTGGAATGTCCAAGGTCTGCGGCCAAAATGTTTGCGTTCCCAAGGCTTTGATACACCCTACAGAATATTTTCGCGATAATATTCGCCATTTATTCTAATGCCACTGTTGATTAGTACGAGCGGAGAGCGATTATCGGATAAAACCAAATTCGGCAGCTTACCACTTTCGGCCAAGCGAAGCAACACTTTAACACTTTTGAGTCTATTTTCTTTCTGTTGCGGTGTAAGTTCTTGCACTTTTTGGAATTTCAATGGCTATACCCTGAGCTCATTTTCAATATTTGCCGAATGGAATACTGCGATATGTTCAGCTCTCGAGCCATTTTTCGGACACTGCGAAATGGGGGTTCAATCAAGTCGCTTCTTTACTATATTTCACCCACTAAATATTACCCGCTCTAGCCGCATGCGTCCATTTGAACCCCTAAATATTATGCGATCATTTCTAAATTAAAGAGGCTTATATTCTGACCATAACCCAACCTCCATTTTAAATTTCGGATTGGTATCCGGAAATTTTGGTGGTCATTGTGCACTGGAAATGAAGCCTCATTTTGTAACCATTCTTGGGTGCCGCGTGCTGAGTGCGATGGTGCTGAGTCCTGTTGGGATGTCCAAGGTCTGCGGCCAAAATGGTTGCGTGCCCAAGGCTTTTATACACCCTCCAGAATATTTTCGCGATAATATTCGGCATTTGTTCTGATGCCACGGTCGATTAATACGAGCGGAGAGCGACCATCGTCTGTTATGCCCATACCATCACCATGGCCGGCGCTTGAGTTCTAGTGGCCAACCGAAGGTGCACATTTTCAGCTGACGATAAATTTGTTTGTTTACAAACTGCTGGATATCGAATGTTTTCTCATCGGAGAAAACAAAATTCGGCAGTTCACTACTTTCGGTCAAGCGAAGTAAAACTTTAGCTCTTTGGAGTCTATTTTCTTTCAGTTGCGATGTAAGTTCTTGCACTTTTTGGAATTTTCATGGCTTTTCCCCGATCTCAGTTTTCAACATTTGCCGAATGGAATATTGCGAGCCATTTTTCGAGCAATTTTTCGGCCACTGCGCTTGAATTCCATCACGAATAACTTCTTTTCTGTAGAGTGCTCACCAAAATGCCAAAATTCTGCAATATAATGAGCACTCTACTAATTTTAACAGCTGTCGTACGATTGGCTTACAAATGACAGCTGTCTGAAGTTGGTTGCAGTTTTTTCATCTCACCCTGTTTAGGATCACTATGAAGGATTTAATGAATTTGGATCATTTTGAAGATTTGGGCGCATTTTAAAACAGAATCAGTTGTAATGTTCGATCTTAAGTCCATTATATGGTAAAGCACCCACATAGCTCTACCACCTTTTTTCCTCTTTTTTATGCAAAATTGGCTATAATTTGACAACTTTGAATATCCTGTTTCAAATCTAAGCCGAAGTTGCAGCAATTCCAGATGCAACACTACTATAATTCCTTTTTTGATTTTTTTTTGAAAATATTAGTTCGTAAAGGACAGCTTTGCAAAATATTAAATATTAGGAAATATTGTTTAGGTATAGCCAAATAATTTAATCCCAGAATCCGTGTATTTTGAAGGCCTTAAGTTTTCCTCATCAAGGAGGTCGTACTAAATGGTGTATTAACTCGTTGTTTAAATATGTAGATATGAAATTCAAATTATTTCCAACAAGTTTATATATCTATGAAATTATTTAACGGTTGAAGTGCAAGCTATGTATTTCAAAAAATAATAACGAATATAATTTATAAATAGACGTAATTAAGTTAAATTAGTCATTTTTATTGGGAAATCTAATTTTTGGTAATTTTATCGTAATATAACACGTTTCTTTAGATTATCGAATCTTCGAATTTGTCTTATTCAATATAAATAGACTTCGTTGCAATTTCTAAATAGAATTAATTGGTAGCTAATCCGTTTGTTTTATTGTTTTCATTATTGCTTTTTGTTACTAGGTTTCAAAACGCAGACCACGTTGGCCATTTTCTTTTACCCTTTCAAATTTGTAATTTATTTGTTTATTTTACAGATACCACAATACTTTCAATTACAATTTGAAAAATACACATATATCATAAACTTTTCTACCTATCTACATATTTCATCTCATTTCATATTTGTGTTTGTTTCTTCTTTTCTCGAATCACGATTTCAAGCAGACGAAAAAAATCGTTTTCCCCAAAATCGCCATTAAATCTAGCGAAGGTGCTGTTGTAATACGTGAACGTGAAAAGATACTTGACGAGAAAATTGTACGACGCACTGAAGAGGTACCCTGTCCCATAACGGGTATACCTCAATTGCGCACCGTCGAGTACATTGAAAAGATCATCGAAACGGAGGTTAGCATTGAATTTTTGGAAATTGGCTTTTTTTCTGTTTTTTCTGTAAGAAGCACAAGCGATTTGTGTACAGCTGCTGTTGCTTCTTCTTATTCATTTCAAAATTTTTGCAGTTTGTATTACGTTTTTATTTGATTTGATTTTGTTTATTTTGTTGTTTTTTTTCCTTCTCTATCTCGACTACTCTTCTATATAAACATATCTAGTGCACAGTTTTTTTCATTTTGGTTCGGTATTTCGGTTAAAAGCTTTTATCGTATTGATGTTGTTGTTGTGTTTTTTGGGATATGTTTCCCATGTTGTTGTGGATTGTTTTGATAAGCACCTAAGTTTGTTCTTTAATTTCTTGTTGTGGTTTAGTTTGGATGTTTTTCAAGATTTTGGGTTGTTGGTAGGGCAAAATGAATCTCAATTGTGGTACAGTGTTTGGAAACGGATCCGGAGTTGGAAAACTGTTCATATTTTAAAAATTATAATTAGTTGTATAATATTCGTGTATATATTATATAAATGTTAAAGATTGTTTTTTTTTTTAACAGGATAAAAAAATATTTAAAGAAGAAAAAATATTTAGCGTTTTTTTTTTTTGTCTAAATTGGAAGGAAATTGAATAGATCTTATGGTTCTGTGGATATTCCGAAATCCCGAATCCTTTTCATACTAATTTATGCAGTTCCCGATGCCAAATATTATCATACCATCAGCTTTCCCAGGGAAACCCCGGTAGGGAGTCTTTTAATTTAAATTGTTATAAAAAAGGGAAAAAAAATGGAATAATATTTTAAACCAAATTGATTTGGCATGTAGGGTTTTTCTCGAAATAGTAAATACAAAATAAATACAAATAAATAAAATTTAAACTGATGGTTCAGGCCGACACTAAATGGTCTATGGTCTAACAAAGGACACTTTCAGATATTTCCTATGAGATACTCATTTGGCAAATTTAAACTGATGGTTCAGGTCGACACTAAATGGTCTATGGTCTATCAAAGGACACTTTCAGATATTTCCTATGAGATACTCATTAGAATAGATTTTTCAAATTTTCCAAAAAAAATCAGTTGAATACTACTGAAATCACAAAAATACCCAATATTGGGCGTTACTGTAATAGGGGAACTATACGATGACGTGGACCTGCAAAGACAATTTTCTGTCTTGGGGCTGTAGTATCCATTTCGAACTTCAAATACGAAATTTGATACAATTCCGTTGAATAAAGTTGTTAGATAATCAAAATACCGAATGTAGGGGGGTACAGTTTTACGGTGGCTATACAAACACCTAGATCTATATGAGTAGTTTTCTGTCATAGGATGTAGTACCCATTGGGAACTTCAAATATACAAATTAAAACATTTCCGGCGAATAATGTCGCTTAAATCATCCAAATACCGAATACAGGGAGATACCATAATATGGGGGTTATATGAGGACATGTAGCTGCATTTACAATTTTCGGTCACAGACTGTAGATCCCTTTAGGGAAACCTATCTAACAAGTGGTCACATGATGGGGGAGTTATATCAAAGTTATTGATCTTTTTCACCTTTATTTTTTAAAGAATCGTCCAAAGTCAAAAAGGCCCCATTTTGGGATTCCACAAAATTTATGCCAAATTGTACCTGACACTATAACCTTTCCGAAATTCTACAGTACAGATGTATTATTGTCTTTTTTGGATGCACAGATACAGGTTTCTGAACTTTGATGAGCTTATTAAGTTCAATACATTCAAATGAAGTTTTTAGCATAAAAATCGTTATTTCAGTAGCCAGTATTGGAAATGCCTAGAGGAAAAATTTTCATGCCTTGGCCTAAGGCCGCCTATTTAAAAAGAATATCAAATTTGGTTCGCGTAGCCGATTTTCGACGTAGACAGATGAGAACATCTCAAGACCCGGGCAAAGGCTGGCTACCTAAAACAGCATAAAATTAGAAAAACTGTATCGAGAAGCAAGTATTGGACATACCCAGAGGACAAAATTTCAAGTTTCGGCCGAAGGCTGGCAGCGTAAAAGAATTTAGAAAAACTTCGGTTCGCGTAGCCGGTGTAGGCAGAGGAGAACATCCCAAAACCTAAAATAGCATCAAATTTAGAAAAAAATTAGTTCGCGTAGCCAGTGTTAAACTTACACAGGATATAAAATCTCAAGCCCCGTTCGAAGGCCGTCTATTTAAAAGGAGTATCAAATTTAGAAAAAAAAACATTGGTTCGTGTAGCCTTTTTGGACTTTTGGGAATTTTTTAAAAAATCCATGTCCAAAAAATGAATAATTTTGTCACAACTCCCGAACCGTTTTAAACGATGGGGCTGTGTGACAACTTGTTTGATAACATTTTTTATAGCTTTCAAAAGATACCTATATTGTATATATCGGTTTAGTTGATCCGGGTGTAATGTGAAATATCCGACTACGTCCTCCAAGAAAAAAAAAAATACATTCCCGATATCAGGAAAAAAATTCTGAAAATCCGAGAGTTTTTACCAATCTATAGTTGTACCATTTTGCTGTCACATACGGTATGAACCTTTTTCAATATATATATATATTATAATTCTTTAATATATATGAATATTTTTATAATATAACCAATTTCTAAATCCGTTTCCTAACGCTGTTCATACAAAACGTTGATTCATACTTGCAGTTCTCAATATTTTTATAGGATTGTGTATAATTATTGTTGTTGTTGTTTTTCTTAATTTTCTTATGGTTACATATTTTGTAAAAATTTTATTCAAGTTCGAGATGAAAATTCTGCCCTCGTTAAGTGCATGTGATGCTTTACTTGGAAAAAAACACAAAACTTTTTTTGTTGTAAATTACAATTGCACTAAAGGCTAAATGATGAATTTTAGATATTTAATAATGTAAACTGCTTTACATTCGTATGTAAATTTAAGCTTTATAAAAATACACCAATTTGTATGTCGACACAAAAAAGCCCACGCACTCTGTTCATTTGTACACGCACAAAAATCACACACCCATTGTATTGCACTAATAAAAATGTATGACTGTGCGTGTGGGCTCCCTAATATCGTTTACTTTATGTACACTGAAATGACCGAACCCACCCACCCCACTACAGACAAAATCACGCACAAATAAAACGCACTCACATTTACACACATTTCGTAAAGTCATACTTCTTAGTTGCACTTGACTGATACACAAAACATCCTGACGAAATTCTCAGGATATGTTTGAAAGTAGATTTAGAAAACATATATTTATGTATATAATTTATAAAATTTACAAGATTTGTTGTTCTTTTGTATGGTAGATCTTGTTTTTTCTTTCCTTTAAATTTATTCACAATTTATTTGCGTTTCTTTTTGCCCATATTACCATTTATTTGCATTTGATTGTGTGTTGTTATTGTACATTTTGTGTTGTAAATATTGTTCTTCTTGCAATATTTGAATAATTTATATATCGAGGCGTTGTATGCCAAACCACCAAGAAAATGTATTTTTTCACAAACTGAAAATTGTTTCTTTGTACAGTACATAAAACTGAAAGGAGGCAGTACTGAATATGAAACAGGGACATAAGGACCTTCGTAAGAAAAAATTGTTTTGTCGAAGCCTGTGACATCACACATCCGTAGAATGCAATTACGCTATGTTTTTCTAGCCTTATTTTTCTTTAACGGGAACTCAATTCTTCTTCTATGACAACCTGAAATAAAACAAGTTACAAAGAAGTAAGTTCGGCCGGGCCGAACTTTGAATACCCTCCACCATTTGGAACGAATTGGGAAATGAAATCCTGAAAAAAAAAACTTTGGTAAAATTTTAAAAATACCGAATATTGCGGTTATATTGGTGCCTATACGACGTGGACCCACACAGGCATTATTTGTCATGAGTCATTACCAAATTCAAATTCGGAACTTGAAATAAACGCGAATAATGTAGCTAAAATCATCAAAGTATAGAATAAAGGGTGGTACCGTTATATCGGAGCTGTGCGAAGACCTGAACCTGCGTAGACATTTTTTTGTCATATTCTGTAGCATCCATTACGAACTTCAAATACGACACTTCAAACAACTTCGGTGAGTATTGTACCTAAACTCGTCAAAATACCGAATATAGGGAGGTACTGGTATATGGGGCCTATACGAAGACCTGGACCTGCATAGACAATTTTCTGTCACAGACTGGAGTTTCCATTACGAACTCTAAATGCGTAATTTGAAAAAAAAAAAATTGGTGAATAAAGACGCTAAAATCACCGAAATACCGAGTATAGGGAGGTACCGTTATATGGAGGCTATACGAAGACGTGGACCTGCACAGACAATTTTCTGTCTTAGGCTGTAGTATCCATTTCGAACTTCAAATACCAAATTTGAAACAATTCCGGTGAATAATGTCGCTAAAATCATCAAAATACCGAATATCGGGAGGTATCTTTTTATGGGGGCTATATGAAAACGTGGACCTGCACAGACAATTTTCTGTCTTAGGGTGTAGTATCCAATTCGAACTTCAAATACCAAAATTTGAAACAATTCCGGTAAATAATGTCACTAAAATCATCAAAATACCGAATATAGAGGGGTACCGTTATATGGGGGCTATACGAAGGCGTGGACCTGCACAGTCAATTTTCTGTTTTAGGGTGTAGCATCCAGTTCGAACTTCAAATACCAAATTTGAAACAATTCCGGTGAATAATGTCGCTAAAATCACCAAAATACCGAATATTGGCAGGTACCGTTATATGGGGACTATACGAAGAAGTGGACCTGCACAGACAATTTTCTGTCTCAGGCTGTAGTATCCATTTCGAACTTCAAATGCCAAATATGAAACAATTCCGGCGAATAATGTCGCTAAAATCATCAAAATACCGAATATCGGGAGGTACCGTTATATGGGGACTATACGAAGAAGTGGACCTGCACAGACAATTTTCTGTCTCAGGCTGTAGTATCCATTTCAAACTTCAACTACTAAATTTGAAACTATTCCGGGGTA